TAAACAGACACAAACCCAGTCAGGGGCCTGGTAGAGTTAGCATCAGATTATTCAGATGTTTAGCAGCTAGAACTTGCTAAATTTCTGCATATTAAAATGTTCTTCTTCATTGCTGTCATCTCTAAACTAGTCCCGGTTGACCCGAGTTCAGACTACGTGATGTTTTTGTCTGCCTGTCTGTCTATTAAGATGGACACAGTGTCCGGCAGTTACAGCTTGCTGTCTTTCACAACCTGTGTGATGTTTTCGGTAAAGGGATAGAGTCTGATGCTGTATGATAGTGTCTTCGGGAAATCCCAAAAAAGAAATTAAATGAATGTGACTTTTCCTGTTTCACAGTTCCATCTTTGCTACGTTTACAGTCATGCACGGAAGCACCCTCTTTGCTCGTGTTGGTCAGCATCACAAATGTGTCGTGGAATTTGTCTCGGAGGGCTAAAGAATTTCTGACATGGTCGTCTTTTTGGCAGGTCATCTTGAGGCGTCAGTTGTGATCCACTTTGATATCGTGTAGTCTGAACCTGGCAGAACTTTGTGTTGCTAATAATAGCCAACATGAATTCTTCTAACAAAAGTTAATTAAATGCAAGCCTTCTAGCATAGTGGCAAATAATGGTAAATAAGCAAATTCACCTCTTTTCTTCACGTGGAGTTCAGCTTTGGTGAACTTTAATTTCGAAGTCGCAGCCTCAACCAATAGCAAAAAAGGACCATGTGCATTTGTGCATGCGTGACTGTGCCATAACCGTAAACACAATCTGAGGCAGAATCTGATCGGCCCCTCTTTTTACATTCCAAGCACTGGCTTCATAAGTTGGAGCTTTACAAGTTGGAGCCCAGTTTACTTTACTTCTATTCAAATTATAAAGCCATTAAGGCATAAAAGTAATAATAAATCTACACAAACTGTTAAGAACTTGTCATTTTAATAACTAATCTTTGACAAGAAAGCCAGATATAACCTCATAATTCCAAGGGCGTGATTTAGTAAACAAAAAGAGGAAGAATTTTTCCTTTTAAACTCATGGCTGTTCATTCTTTTGTAGGTATTTCATCTTACTTGTCAGAGGAAAAAACCTTTCAGACTAACCCCACAGTGCTTGCCCTCAGTGATCCATCATCGTAGGTGAACAGGGAGAAAGAACTGTCATTATGCAGGAGCACTTGTTATTCCTACAATGTGACGAAGTGTTAATACAACAGTTTCATTGTTGTGATTATAGCGTTACGGCAAAAGCTTAGTTGTGACCTTTAACCTGTCGCCTGAGGCATTAAGGTCTCTGGTCTTTTAGTGAAGGTAGACTGTCAGAACATGCCCAATCCATGTGTTAGTCCACAGGCCAACAGCAACAAGCACTGTGAGGTAGACATGAGGGGTCTACTGTAACTGTCATTGCTACACACAAGTCCTGACTTGCCTCCTCACATAGCAGCGTTTCACCGTCTCCCTCAGTATTACTTTGAGTTTGCTTCAGCTTCGTAGTGGGAAATCTCTCATTAAGCCTGCATACAGAACATCTGAAGCACGCTTGTTCAGTTTTGATGTTCATGACTATTTGATCCCTCCCAAAAGATAAAACGATATTTTTAAATTAACCAGAGCACAGTAGACTTCGTTACAAAGCCTGTGTTGTTTGGGGAAATGGACCAGTGTCACGATCCTGCCCTGACAAAGACTCCATCGGTAAAGCCTGTTAATGGATGAATGACACCACATCCTTTCTGTTATTTCAATGGGAGGACCATTCATAGATGGTAATTCTTTTCTTTTCACATAAAATGTAAAAAGCAAGCAAAAGAGGGATATGCAGCCTTCTGTAAGGGGAAAACAACCCCGGCAGCAATATTAAAAGACTATTCCCATTTACCAAAAGCCCAGGAGACTTGAAGGATTTGGAATTCATTGTCAGATCTTATGCATAATTAAGCAAATCCCCCCACCCAACCAGCCACCCCGCCTGCCCAGAGGGATTTTCATGCTGCTGTGCTTCTTAGACAGTAGGTGGTTGTTACAGTACCTCAGCCCTACTAGGCTAGAATCAGTTTCCCGTTTTTATTAGCTACTGATGTTACACACATAGACATAATTCCTGCGAAACATGACATTGTTCCACTTCACAACTTCCTTCATGCCCATATTTTCCTGCAGGCTGTTAAAGCTAAAATACACAAGGATCCGGCAGCCTGCAAGCCATAGGCCAGTTCTGTGTCTTGTTTATGTCGCCTGCTGTGAGCTGACAAAAGATGGCTTTGTTGGAAACTGAGTGTGAAGAAAGGCCTGAGACTCTGTTAATGCTCTGTTTGGTGTTCCAGGAGTTTTCAGCGTATTTGTCTGGGTTCGCAGTCTGGGTCAGAGTATTACGACACAGTTGGCCAAAGGAACCAAATTCTATTCAACCTTGAAATTTTGTGAGTGGCTAAAATGGGTCCTTTTCATGTGTTTCAGATGCTGTGTTACATGGACAGCTGCTGTTTAACTAGCATGTTCGCCATTATTTAGCAATGGTCTGTCCACACAATGTGTTATTTAAGCCCCATCTTATTGGTTATCTCATTGAGGGGACATTCGTTTTTTTTTTTTTTTTTTGTGAAAGCGTCATCTGTGTGAAACGGGGGAAGGCATTTACACATCCAAGGTAGCGTCTCCGCTGTGCTCTGCCTCCGATGGCTTATTAACCATGACACCAGTCTGCTCGGGGAGAAGGCGTATCACACAAAGAGCAGCTCCCTGAGCCACCCGTCATCTTTGTGTCTGCTCTCTTGTGTCTGTGTGTTAACCTGCACGCACTGTTAAACTCAGTGGGATGCGCCCCCCTTTATGCAGACGTGCCCCGGGGGTACTTATCGACTGTACGGCCCCGTTGACCCCTCTTCACTTCCTCACCCTCCTCCCCCTTCTCGCCCATTCATGATGCCAACCAAAAATGAACCCCCGTGTTATGCTCCTTTCATTGTTCCTGCTGCAGCTTTCTGCCTGTTTTTTAATATTTATTTCTGAGCTGCATCTGTGCTCATCTGGATCAACTCACATGTGCTTACTGTACATCCATAAGAATCACTTAAACTGACTGAAAACACACCAGTAAGCCTTTGTCTCCTATGTTGCATCTGCTTCCCCTCTCCTACCATATTGCCATTCTGTTACGAAATAAGGGGGGGGGTGGAGGGCATTGAGGAAGCATCAAAAATGACCGACAAGAACCAGTGACAGCTTCACTAATTTCCCTTGCGTGGTTAGCAAACTGTGCTCTTCTTTGTGCCACACATTTTCCACCATATGTCACTGCATCGCTCTCACTGCGAGTATGCCTGCTAGCCTGTGTACTGTAGCTTGTCTCCTGTTCAGGATTAGACTCTTGTGAATGAGAGTGGGCTCACGCATTGGCTGACTCCAATGTTACATCCAACAGATGCATGGCTTCCTAAATAGCAACAGTGAGGCTGGGCATGCCGGCCGAAGGCTCAGTAGCTTTACACTACCCATATGCACTCTGACCCTTGTCTGCTTATCAGCGGGGCTCCCAAACTACCCCACCTTAGTGTTTTAGTGTGTGAATTAGCATTTCCTAGTGGACCCCCGTGGCTATATCTGTCCATGATAGCACAGGCTTGAGTCCCTAAATGATACTTGGCTTAGTGTAATGATTTCCCCGCACTAATCTGATATTAGAGCTACTTCATGAGCCAGAGTAGGCGGGGAAGCTTCAGAGATGAAGAGATACAGAGAAAAGCTACAACAATCAAAAACTGCCCTCTTGACCTCCTTGGTCTGTTTTGTCCGTTATTGAAATGTCACTGTAATGCAACATGAAACAAATAAAAGCTTTGTTCAAGTAATGTGTTGTTGAGGGACTAGTGTGAAGGATTCAGTGTCGTCTAGCACTGTAGTTGCTGATTGCAACACCCTCAATTAAATCAATAAATTCTGTATTAACAATGGAGGAAGCTATGTGTGAACTATTGTGAACGGGGTCACATGTAGTGATGAAAACACAGAGAATTATCATCTGCATTTCCCCTAAGCTGCAGAGCATTTTAGCATCTTTCAGGCAATTGTTTTGTTTATTGGCCTCTAACTTTGGGTCACTCACATCTCCGCCTTTTTTTCCTACAACAGTAGGCATCTGTTTTCAGTAAACAAGCTCTGATAAACCCATTGTTCATATGTTCCTTGCTAATGCGTTCATATCATTATTATTTCCCATCAGCCTCAGCTGGACTTAGTGTTTTAGTGCCAATTAGTTAATGTTAGCATGCTAAACAAAGATGGTGAACATGGTCAACGTTACATCTGCTAAACTTAGCATGCCTGAGTACAGCTTCTAGTTCTTCTGCAAATAACTTAAATGATTATCATAGTTAGGGGTCACTATTGTTGGTAATCAGTTGAAAAATTAATTGATTTACTAAAAAGATGATGACTTTTTAGTTCCACCTTTACTAAATCAGTGTGAATGTGAATTGGGTTTGATGCGTTGAGCTTTACTAAATAAATAAACAGACTCATCTTTAAATTATCAAGGCTTCAAGGCAAAAGAAAGACGGTAACACCACAAAATGCTGGAACACGTCTCTGTATGTGCATCTGTGTCTGACACATGTGCATGCAGGCATGTGCGACATGTCTGCTGTGTGTATGTCCTCCGCTGGTGGCAGTGGGATGAAGCAGATCTCATGTCTGTGTTGAAAACGAGGAGTAGCAGCTGCTCCACCGTCCGTGGGGAAGTTTTGGTTCATGTGGTCTACATGACACTGTGTCTCAGCGGGTTTAGAGCAGTGGTCTCCACTCCGTCTCTGGTTTCTGCGTCTGGTCTTGTAGCAGTCAGAGGAATTTTTCCAGAGAATGTGTTCTATGAAAATGACACAAGAAAGCAAGTCTATTTGATGCAAAATGATTATGTCATCTTTTACAGTGCCTTGAAATGAAATTTGAATGAAGTTTCTTTTTTTATCTGCTGTCTCACAGACTTTTTTTTTCTCTGTCCTTGAATGCACTACAGGCCTTGGCCATGGGGGTATCCAAGAGTAAGCCCAAGGATGTAGGCCAGCGAACCCGCAGCCTCGATGCCAACCTCAGCTCCGGGGGAGGGGCTGGCGGCCACCACCTCAACTCAAATCAGCAGTCCTTAACACCCAATCGTAGCCCTACTGTGGATGGAGGTCTCGGTGGCAATCCGTCTATGACCAATACCGCAGAGCTGGCCCTTTTTGGAGGCGTGGACAATAATAGTGTCACCTCTCCCAACAGACTCACACTAGCAGGTGAGAAACTTTGAAGCCTTGGTTTTTAGATGTAGTGGTTTGTTGTGTGAGTGTTTCTAACTGTATGCCCTGTATGTACAGTACATCTTTGGTAATAACCACATTTTCTCTCCTGATAGGAGGCGTGACAACCTTTGTGGCATTGTATGACTATGAGTCTAGAACGGCCTCAGATCTGTCTTTCAGGAAGGGTGAACGCCTCCAGATAGTCAACAACACGTAAGGAAAATACAGATAATGATCACATGCCTTTTTTTTTTTAATCAACCCCTGTCATCTCTCGTACACATGTACAAACAACTCAAAAATAGTCCAAGAACACCTCTTTAACACACATACACTATGTGAAAGATGGAGAATAACTGCACGTCGACAAGTCCACAGATTGTCTGTCTGAGTTATTGCTCAGCTGTCTGACTGGCTCCTTTGCACCCCAAAACGCATGTCACTTGTCATCTCTCTGAAACCTCCTGTAACCATGGGAACGAGCTTCCCTCAGTAGAGCTTGATTTTTGTGTCAACTGACACGTTTCTGCACAATTCTTGCTTCATTCACAAAAGACTGATTACATCTCGCTGCTCAGTGTGCCTCAGTAAGGACATTGTTATTTTTATTGAAGACCCCTGACCAGGAGACGCAGTGTGAGACCTAGTTACTCAGTACAATTTTAACCTGTTAACGGGGGGGGGGTGTCATGCTTGTTTTAAAAATAGGGACTTGCTTTATGAATCAATAGAGGGGCAGTCAACCATGTACTGTAGTGCTGCACCCCCAGTGCCGCTAGCCCACAGACAAACTGCTGACCTAGAAGGCAGGAGCTGAGGACAATAGTGGATTATCGCTGCATCTGGCCCCTTAAGCCAAAGACCTGGATCATTATTGGGTCAAGTACACCGAGAATCCATTAACCATCTCTAAGATTAGTTAACAGGTTATCACAGTCAAATTAGGTATTAGTCAGGCTCATCTTCGCTTTAGTTGAATTATATAGCCATGCACAGTGAACTGATGCTTTTGTTATAATGATATTGTAACCACTGCATGTTTTTCTCTTAAGCCCCCTATTGCCTAATTATTGAGCCTCCCTTATCTCCAAGTTATGTAATACTTAAGATATTTTCATAGCTTTAGCATAAGCACTATATTGGTCATGTTATGAGTCTGTTCTGTCTACTCTGCTACTCTTCCACTGCTGATAACGTGCTCTCTGTATCTCTTTAACCCCTTTTCTTTTCCACCATTTCCCTTTCGTCTCTCTTTTCCATTTCTCCATCACAAACCATCACATTTTTTATAGGAGGAAGGTGAACTGCAGGTTTGTGAAGCTCCTTTGGAATTGTATTTGAATGTCCTGTTTGTTTGCCTGCGTGTATGTCACCTGAAGCAATACCACTTCACTAGAAAGGCACAAACCACATAACTCTGCCCATGCCCCATGAACCCTCAGTACAGTAGTCAAGGGAAGTTGGTGTGAAGCCTTGCAGCACTATAATCAATTCAGGTCAACTGGTGGAAATTCATGTAAACAAACTATAATTTTCTTTCTGTATCTAGTGCTGCAAAGCTACAGCAGCTCACTCCTTGAAGTGTAGCATACAAGCACCATCCCTTCCCTGTTGTCATACCCACATGAATGCATGTTTGTTTATATAATTACATAACTTCCTATTTTTTTTTTTTTAACAGTAGAGATATCTGGGCTTGAATTTATCAAGCTTCTCCAGGAACCAAGAGCTCAATTACTGTGCAAACTAAAACAAAGTTTGGAGTGGCAACAAAAAATGCAAAATGATGTTCTGAGACACTTGATGAACCCCAGCCCTTGAAGTCGGAAAGACTGTGTTTTATTTGTGCTTTGGATGTGTGATGAGCCCTGGTGAAGCTGTGTGTTATCATTTCATCTGTGCAGAGAAGGGGACTGGTGGCTGGCGCGCTCCCTGACCACTGGAGAGAGCGGTTATATCCCCAGCAATTATGTGGCTCCATCCGACTCCATCCAGGCAGAAGAGTAAGCCTTTTTTCCCCCCTCGCTCTGTCTCTCGTATCTGTCTTTCATCAAGCACATGAAAGAATTAACACTCAAATGTTGGATACTTAGGAATTTTTCTTCCTTTTTATCTCAATGTGCATTTAAAATAAGCACTCAAAGTAATAGTTTGACACTCACTTGTTTTCTTGTCGAGAGTTAGATGAGAAGAGTGATTTTACAGGGGGTTATGTGTGCGACAATGTCTTGGTCTGGCACAGTAACTTCCTGGAGTCAACTAACGATGATGACAAGACTCCTTGGAGTCACTGCACCCAGACAAGAAATAGTCCAGCACATAAACCCCCATAAACCACCACTAGCTGTTCCCTCTCTCCCCTTGAGTCTTTATGCTAAGCTAAGCTAACTAACTGCTGGCTGTAACTTCATATTTACCGTACAGACACGAGAGAGGTATCAATATTCTCATCCCAGTGTCAGCAAGAAAGCAAATGAGCATATTTCCCAAAACTTGGAAGAACTCTTTACATGCTAACTAACCTGCTTGCTTATACAATCAATCCACACAGACTAACCTTCTGTAACAACTCCATTTCTCACTTTTGCCTCCTGCCCCTCCAGTCATCTCAGACTGACTCTAGAGTCCAGGTAAGCAGCTGTTGCACTGTAGGCATTAGTATGCAATGCATCTGGAATGCAGAGACAGAGTTTCACTGAACTTTCTTAAACCATGAGCAACGAACTCACCCCGGCTTCCTTATTCCTTCTCTTCCACCCACATACATCGTCTTCCCCTCACCAACCTGCTCCCATGTATCCCGTGTTTTTTCTTCTCTCGACCTCACCAGGTGGTACTTTGGCAAAATCACTCGCCGTGACTCAGAGAGGCTGCTGCTGAGTTTAGAGAACAGGAGAGGGACTTTCCTGGTGCGAGAGAGTGAGACCACCAAAGGTAAGTGCTTGGAGCCTTGTACGAAGGAGCAAACTCATCAGTAGTTCTTAACATCAAGTACCAAAAATTGGTAGTAGCTTGCTCTACATGCTTGAAAATGAAAAAGAGTTTATGGTTTTGTCAAAGAAATATGTTAATATTCCCCAATCTAAGACAAATTCCCGTCGACTCAATACATTTTTCTGATTCTAATTCAGTTTTTCAGGAGTATAATTTTGATATTGCACTGAAACTCTAAAAAATTAAACAATAGAACTATGCTATAAGGGCCCCGAGGAGTGTTATGACTCTTGGCTTCCTCTAACAACAGCCCAGGGGTCTCTTGAAGTGCTAATGGCGAGTGGAGTTTTCTTTAACACAGAGTATAGAAAAGAACATGGGGAAGTAGACTTAATTATTCAGTGGTATTGATCAACAGTCTTACTCGGGAACATTTTGTCCTGGAAATTTGTGAAAAACATACTTGCTGCAACTTTATTTTTTATTACCATTGATTACCAGTGGATTTTTTTCAGATGTAGCAGTGTTTCTGTAGTCTTCTTCATGTTCTCTTTTTATGAACTTGTAAAATGTTCAGATCTCAACATGAAGCGCAGTTTGAATTCTATGACACGTCTTTCTAAAATGCACCAAAAAGAAGAAAGCAAATTCTCTCTAGCAGTCAGACATGATACCCTGCTGTTAACTGTGCGCCCTGCTGTGTCGTGTCAGTTGTATGGCAGTGTGGGTACAGAAGAGAGTCAAATCAGGCAGATGGGAAAAGGTTGGATGTGACGCCTGTGGGACTCAGTCTGGAGATAGTTCTGATAGGCGGCTGCTGCGGCTGCTGCTGCTGCTGCTGCTGCTGCGGCGGCGGCGACACAGTCCCTGCAGGTTCAGCTGGCTCTGTGTGTAGGTGTGTGTGATTTGTATACACATGTACATTACAGGGTTCCCTTTGTTTCCTATGATTGGATATGTATGTAAGCACTGCATAGAATGATAAAAGGGGACAAGGTGGGGAGGGATGGAGGGAAGTAGATGAGTGAGCAGGAGCCGTGGAGAGGTAAAGGGTGGGTGAGCCCGACAGAATTAGGTCAGTGTGGAGCTGAGGACTGTACAACCACAGGCCATATCACCCAGTTCAAACATTCAGAGAAGGGGGAGGCATCGCCTTGGGGCCACTCTGTGATTCAGGTTTTTTTTTCACCAGACTGATGCTGCCCCCTGGTGGCAGAAAAAGCACACTGTCACCAAAATATTGAAGTCTTAATTTCTCTTTTTTTATATCCATGCAAAGCCATTGTATCGCCCCATTGAAATCCCTTTTATATTTTTGTAATTTGCTTAAAAATTAAAAATGTAATCAGATTTGTTAGAATCAAATACTACTAGAGTACATTTGACTACATCATGCATTATCATATTTGCTCTTATTCTTTCCAGGTGCCTACTGTCTGTCTGTATTGGACTATGACAACACCAAAGGGCTGAATGTGAAGCATTACAAGATCAGAAAGCTGGACAGCGGAGGCTTCTACATCACATCACGCACACAGTTCAGCAACCTGCAGCAGCTTGTCAATCACTATCGCAGTGAGTTCACTACGACTGAAGTGCTTCTATTTCTTTTATATTTTATATTTTATAAAAATGACAACATGAGAAAACACTTACTTTCTTACCCTGTCTGTTTCTTGTACACTCAGCAGACTATTCTGTGATCGGGGAGGCAGCTGGCCTTTGTTTTAACACATTCTCTTTTTTCTTGTGTCCCCCAGAGCATGCTGATGGGCTGTGTCACACTCTAACAGACATTTGTCCTGTACTGAAGCCTCAGACTCAGGGCTTAGCCAAGGATGCCTGGGAGATCCCGAGAGAGTCCCTCCGTCTTGACCTCAAGCTTGGACAGGGCTGCTTTGGAGAGGTCTGGATGGGTAAGTCATATTTTTTATCTGTTTCGTGAACAAACTCTGTCTCCGAACAGAGAGACAGAAAGAGAAAGTGCTCACTGAAAAGGCGCAAGTTCAAGTGAAATATTAACAAACTATGTGAAGACGAAAGTGCATAAAGAAATGATATTCTTCCATATTCTTTAAAATCTTTACCCAAAAAGTGCATTGGGTCTCTTTATTTTCTGTTTAATGCTTTTGCTTTTGCTGTTGCTCATTAGTGACACTCTTTCATGCTCATGGTCAGTGTACCATGAATTAGCATCAAGCTGATAATTGATTGAGTTTGAACAACCAATACTGATTACTCTTTTTTTCTTTTTTATCAGGAACATGGAACGGTACAACAAGGGTAGCAATAAAGACTTTGAAGCCCGGCACAATGTCCCCTGAGGCCTTCCTCCAGGAAGCTCAGGTCATGAAGAAACTGAGACATGAAAAGCTTGTTCAGCTCTATGCTGTGGTGTCTGAGGAACCGATCTACATCGTCACAGAGTATATGGGACAAGGTCAGCACGGTCAACTTATCTCGCTTTCACATATAAACACTTTCACAGGGACCCAGGAAACAAATAATGTTCTTCTTTATGTTTTTTCAAATAACTCTAGGCTTGTTAAAATGGCATTTAAGTATATTTACCTACTGAATGGAGGCTTACAGATGAAGTGAACCAAATCAAGCCTTGAGTCATTTATTTCCAGCAAAAACAAATATGTTTTAAAAATATTTTCTATAAATAAAATGAAACTTTATTTTATTAAATAAACCTCTTTATGTCAGTACAAAAATAGAGGGAAATAGAAGATTGCCTGCAGTAGCACAACAGCTCCAATGGTGTTATACTAACCTGCAGTTTGTGTCCCTGCTAACAGGTAGCTTACTGGATTTCCTGAAAGGTGACATGGGCAAAATGCTCCGCCTCCCCCAACTGGTGGATATGGCCTCCCAGGTCAGTACAAATAATCTACGGCTGCACTTTAATCCATTCAAAATTTTATCTTGGGTGTTTTCCCTCCGTGTAGACAATCACAAAGCTTTGTCTCTCTCTCAGATTGCTTCAGGGATGGCTTATGTGGAGAGGATGAACTATGTGCACAGAGACCTCAGAGCTGCTAACATCCTGGTGGGAGATAACCTGGTTTGCAAAGTGGCTGACTTTGGTCTGGCTCGCCTCATAGAGGATAATGAATATACTGCCAGGCAAGGTAAGACCACAGGAGGGTGTTGCTAGTCTCTGTGTTTCAGTGTGCAGTACCACAGTGGTTCCAAACCTTTCTAGCTTGTGACCTCTTAAAATGTCATATATAATTGCAGTTTACCCAGAGTGATTTGTATAGGTCTGAGGAGGATGAAGTATCCAGTATTTTAAGGACATTTTTAGCCAAAAATAAAAGCATTTTATGTAACAGAGTTTACATTACATTTCTTTCTCATCCCTTTTAATAATCTTTATGACTGCTCAGATTTGGGTCCCTGCAGCCGAGTTGAGAACTACTGATATAGAGCCTGTAGTTATGAGGTGTTAGACTCCAGAAAACAGTATGATTCATGCAGCTGGCGCGATCTGCTTTTGTTTCAGTCTGTGCTACAATGATCTAATTTTAACTTGCTGATAAACCTGTACTCTTGCAGGAGCCAAGTTTCCCATCAAGTGGACGGCTCCTGAGGCTGCTCTGTACGGCCGCTTCACCATTAAATCTGATGTCTGGTCATTTGGGGTTCTGCTGACTGAACTGGCCACTAAGGGCAGAGTGCCCTATCCAGGCAAGGATCATTTTCTTTAGGCTATTGTTAAGTGTGAGAGATTAACCTGTGTATATTAGATTGAGCACACATTGCTTTTATCACCTAGACTCCCGTACTGACGTCATGCTCCACCAGTCTAACAGCATAAAGATTTATGACTAGGAGTGTATTGGTTATAAGCAATCACGATTGCAATTTTGATTATGTGCTACTAACTTCACGTCTTTGCTCTGCCAGGTATGGTGAATCGGGAGGTGTTAGACCAGGTAGAGCGTGGCTACAGGATGCCGATCCCTGCAGAGTGCCCTGAATCTCTGCATGACCTGATGCTGACCTGCTGGAGAAAAGAACCCGAGGAGAGGCCCACCTTTGAGTACCTGCAGGGCTTCCTGGAGGATTACTTCACCTCCACGGAGCCTCAATACCAGCCAGGAGAGAACCTGTAACTGGGCTGAACGTGGAAATGTGCATGCCTCATGCATGTGCAAAACTGAGCATGTGCATCTACTTCAGAGAGTGTGTGTGTGTGTGTGTGTGTGTGTGTGTGTGTGTGTGTGAGATGGTGTGTGTGTGTGAGGCTGTGTGTGATGGTGTGTATGTGTGAGGCTGTGTGTGTGTGATGGTGTGTGTGTGTGTGTACAGTACAACGGGGCAGAAAGCCGACTGCATTCTGGGTACAATCAGTAACTGTCTGACATCAAGGAGTGTCAGTGGGACATCAAACCAATCAGCAACATTCAGTTCCTGCGTCTTTCCAAAGTCAGTGTCATGCTCTCCAACATGTCAGCTCTGAGGGATGTTTGCAAAGGCAAAGACTGAACTGTGGTATTATTCTGAGTTTACCATACTGTACGTTCTTTTGTCTGTCAATCAAACCAACACCCTACACAGCCAAGCAGGTGTTTCTACCTTCCTTGTGTTTGTAAGGCGCCCTAATGATATACATTAGGTACATTCCCCATGCACTCTTCCTGTGTTAATTCACCTGACTAATCTTGTAGTTTGGCAGCTTCAACACTGCAACTGACTCCAGACTATGACATAAAAGACATGGGGGAGTCGAACATGGGAGTCCAGAGAATGAATGTTGGGTACAAGTATTGTCCTGCTGAAGGCTCAACTTCAGGATGTCTATTTTTAATACATTTACTTTGGGATACACACATGCTCAGAGTCCGTCTTCCATTTTGCCACCTAAGAAGCAGCTATTTGGGACGTACAATAATTTGCCAGGATATTGTTGGTCTTACATTTTTATTATTATTAAACCTGGATCAACTGGAGTGAATGGTTTTATTTAATAACCATGCTTCCCCCCTCTCCCTCCCTCCCTCCCCGTGCAACATTGAGGCTAGTTTCCCAACTGCTGTGAGATTTTTGTATGAGACTAACACCCTCGATTCCCATCAGAGTGTATAGACTTACTCACCAATCAGACGAATTGGTTTATCGCTGTGACCAACATACAGCTCAACACAAAGAAGAGAAGAGGCGGCGTCTGTCTCTCTATTTTCTAATCGTGACTTTTCTTACACAACTAATGGCTACTGATCACTAACGGTCTCAGGATGGAGAAGACTAGAATTCTGCTGCGAGGATTTTTGTGCCAATGAAAATCTCTTTTGTACTCTCTTCTACTGTGTAAAAGTGTATTTTACTACTCTGAACTTTTCCTACAATGAAGTCTGAGTCGGAGTAGAGATTCTGCTGTTCTTCTTCTCACCTGATCCCGCACCTGTGTATAGCACCAACCGGCCCACCAGCATGGTTTTCGAGGTGCTGATTTGTTTTCAAGCATTCAAATTAAAATCAGGTGAATCTTCTTTCATGTCTCCTTTGAGTTCTAACCTTCATTAATATGAAGACTGTTTTTAATTAGCCTTCACATTTCCCTATTTAGTGCGTCTTAGAGCACAACTGTACACTGGAGATATTATGTTTCTGTTCTCTCGTAAATGAGCATCAGAGTGACACTGTGCTGAGTATGGTTGTGCCTTCCTCCAGCCTGTAGGGGGCAGACCAGAAAACCTTCCCATAAACAGCATGTATAGCAAAATAAATTGGCATCTTCAGACTTAATTGTAAATATCCTTAATGCTAATATTTTGTGTATATATCATCTTTATAATTTATTCCTTTTAAAATAACCCAATTGTTTATTTTGCTTTCAGCATCATCATTGCAAACTTTAATGTTTATGGTACTTTTATGGGTTAAATAATATCTGACAATAATGATATAAATATATATTATAGAAACACTTTTTCAAGTATTTTTTTGTGCACGTATTTCTGTGAAACTTATCTTGGCTGTACATTTACAATATGACTGACTGAGGAGAACTGCTCTGCATCCCCTGACTCGCCTTTTTGGAGAAAAACACTCCTGTCTTGCCAGATACTGATCATCTACCAGCATTACTCCTTCCCATAAATACAATCAAAACCACAAATGTTTACATCGTGATAATCTTCTAATCATTTTGGTGCTGCTTCAGAGGCTGGTAAATGAGCAGGTAAATCAAGTGTCATTCTCATTAAATATCTCTGTTTTCCTGTGTACACCTGACCAACATGGTGTGTGTGCTGCCATCATCTGTACCTCCACGTTAAATGGTTCGATCGACCTCTTCGGCTTGGATTTCACAAAGCACTCCTGATTATGATTAAGTAACTCCGTACAGAAGATGATGTGGCTGCCACGAATGGAAGGAGTTTGATATCTGTGTAGCGTCTACTATGTCCTGTGGACATGGGTTATGCCTGCATGGGTGTAGTCAGGTTGTCTGGCATCCTCCCCTTCTTTCCCTGACCTGTCTCACTGAATGCTTACGAGCAAAAGTGTGGAAAAAGTGCACGAAAAAGGTTCTAATGTTTGTATGCAGCCTCGCTTACAAGCCAAGGATGTTTCCTGTGGGGTTCTGTGGGTCTTCTTTCTGGCTATGCAGATATTTTTTTAAATCTGTGATATTCCTATATATACTCTTTTCTACTGTATTCAATAGGGATTTTCAGATAAATAGCTCTTTGTTAAATCCTACTGAATATTGTTCAAATTTGAAAGTATGTTTGAATAAAATTTGTATATTGCCAGCTGTATCTGATCTCGTTTATCAACTGAATGAATTCTGTTTCTATAAAGAACTCACGGAGACTGCGATCAAAGGTCATAACCAATAAAGGACCTCAGTCTTACTTTCTTTATATAGAGTTGTGAGTTACCTCAGTGACTGTATGAATTTCTCAGCAGGTTTTTTCCACATATAGCTCATGAATCATGAATTCTTATGAACTAAAGCCACAACAATCTTGTAGAAGGTGACCTTGAACATTATCTCAGCATTCATAGATCCAAGTATGAATACTAGAAGATAAATAATACCATAGGGCAAAAAGTCACTAATGTGTTTACAGTAATATGAACAAACAATATATTATCGGTTTTAGAATTACATTTTTGTTTATCAGCTGGTATAGTATTGAGAAACTTTACCCATGTTGAATATATTACTGCATTCACAGCTCAAGAACATTTTCATTATTTATTTATTTACATACTCTTCTAATTACACATAAATCACGTGGAACATTGTATTATTATATGCCTATACATTAATTATATACTTGTGTCTGCAAATCATGAGACCATATATAAAATATTTTAAGTCATTATTTTTTAGTGAGTATTTTAATTTAAGTAAAAAAAATGCCACAAATTACTAAAGTATTATCAAAATAAGAGTCAGTATGGCTTCTATCAGTGTTATATTGTCATATTAACATGTAAAAAGCAGTTTAATGTTGTTTTTGGTCCAGTTTGTATAGTTTTGGGGAGTTTAATCTGTATTATTTCTTAAATGTTTTTATTTAAAATCTCCACCTGCAGAGTAACCATTAAGTATGGCTGTCACATAAATGTAGTGCAGTAAAAAAAAAAATACAGTATTTTCCTCTGAAGTGTACAAGTATAAACAAGTATACAACAGAAATAGTACAAATACCAAATCTGTGTTTAATCCTATTATTGTGAACAGCTCAAAAACACCATCAACACTGTTCTATCACCTTGTTATCAAACCACGGTTCCTCATTTGATTGTATTTCATTATAATATGATCATTCGCGATACCCTCGGGACAGACATTTCACCTCAAACACCTACCCACTCGGCCGTCACGTGCGCGTATCGCTCGCGCTGTAGTTCTGTAGCTTCACCAGAAAGTCCAGGAAGAGTCTCCGCTCGTGCAGTGTGGGCGATGGGCGCAGGTGAGCTCGCGCGTACTCTTTACCTGTAAACAAAGGAACAACACAACATGGAAACGACGGCCAGGAGGCAGTTTGACGGATAGTCGCTTCCAGCACAACTTCAACTGCTGGTAATTTAACTTCAGGACGTGTTTCACTATTCAACACTGCTCGTGTTTGACTTGAAATGGAAGGTTTTGTGTCTCGTGCCTTTGTTTTCATTGTGTGGGGAGGCTCTTTTGTTATTTTGTGAGTTCTGTGGTGAGTTTAAAAGTTTGTCGGTGGGTTTTTTTTTTTTTTTTTGGTGCGCACTGGTGTTGCTACTGTTGTGTCGTTTGTAGTTCGCTTCCAATGTAAAATGCATGAATGAATGAATTAGCTGGTGTCTTCTAGCTGTTTAAAGCCGTATTTTCAGTGTGCACATATGTCTGCTCCCATAGCAAGCATGTGTGTTCTTTTAAATCTGGATGCTATCACGCTTGGTATCATGTTGTGTTGCAACCTGCTTTGGCACAGCATAAACGCGCTCAGTGCCACACCTTCCTCTTCATTTATCAGCTTCCTTTTATTGTGTGAACTCTTACATTTGAAAGGTTATGTTTTAATGTCTCAATACAAACTGTGGATGTCTGTGGGAGTCAGATAAGTTTAAGAAAATACCACATTTTCCCTCTCCTTTCCTCTATCTGTCCCTCTCATTTCCTCTCTGTGCCCCTTAACAAAACTTGCCAGGCTGGAGATCAGTGTTTGATCCAACATCCTGATACACACAGTTGCCAGACACACTGCGCACAGCTTACACATGTAATAAGGTGGGTTAATCCAATCAATCCACTGGCTCCGAGGAAAATCAGGTCAATTCACCTTCAAATCCTGGTTGCTTCTGCCTGATCTTGTCCTTAGCTTTCCTGCTTAAACTTGCCCCCTTCCTTAGAAATTGCTTAACACAAGTCAGATGATGGTGACTGTGTGTGTGCTTGTGTGTGTGTGCTTGTGTGTGTGTGCTTGTGTGTGTGTGTGTGTGTGTGTGTGTGTGTTGTACCTTTGCCACAGATGATGCTTAATTCAGCCTGACCACCCTTATACTATAAATAGAGGTGTTACAGAAAGTGATTCTAACCATGAGAAACTAGTTTGTGCTTTTATGTTTGTTCTAATGCTGCTGTGCATCTTTTCAGGCATCTTTTTAAAAGACAGAGTATTAATACAGCAGCCTCCTCTGGAATTAGATTAAAGTTTCAAGATGATCCTCTGAGTTATTTTTAGTTTTGACAGGTTGTCTTGTCTTCACAGGGCATTTTATTCTTAGTTTTTTTTTTGTCTCAATTTTGTCTCAATTTGCAGCCTGTTGGGAGACTTTCACTCTGCTGCAGTCTTAATCATTTCAGACCATAAGGTAACTCGACACTGTACATGTCAGGAGGCTTATGTTCTTGCTCTTGTTGTGTCCACACTGCAATGAATAAACAGAGAAACATAATATGGGAGTGCAATGATTTTGAATACATTTAACCTTCAGAAATGCTCATGAGAAATATAGGTGGGGTTATGTTCGCCTGAGCTATGCTTTCACATTGAAGCCTCTGTATCATTTGGGTCTCCTTGTAGGCCAATAAAACACCTCCAGAGTTGTGTACCTTTGGATCTGTTGTAGGATTTATTGCTCGAGCGATTTGACTCGCATGCAGCAGAGTGGAAGACTCTAATTCTTTTAAACAGGAAGATTGTTTTGTGCTTCTTGTCATGCTGTCTGCTGTGTCACCGTGACATTCTTTCTCAATTAATATCTTCAGACATCAGTGGTTAAAAAAAATGCGAGGGAGGCATGCTGGTCTTAACAGCAGTTTAAATGCAGTTTCCATCATGTTCCCACACAAGCAGAGTCTTGCACACTCACGTTGAAGTGGTCTCTGACTGTAATTATAGACTCGGCGTCTCAGGTGGAGGCAGAGGGCTGCAGAATTAGCTGCAGAGAGGAGTTTGTGTGTTGTTGTAAATGTTATCATAGGCAGGAAGTGATGCATGAGGGTTAGTTTACAGGAAATGTCAAACCAACTGTAACTTACTGTCCCTGCTAGAACAGCTTTATGATGTGCTGGATGTGTACTGTGGGAGCAGGGCTTTTATTGTTATGCGAGTATGATATTTACATAAAAGATTAGCAAGTTGTCTGTGGTCCCTCTAGATTCAGAAAATAACCCACCTTAAATAAATGTTGACAATAGATTGTGAGTTTTGAGCTCATGTTACATACCAAATAGCTCTAATAATGAGACATTTCTAATGTAATTACTTGAATACAATGTGTTTATTCTACAATGTGTCTGTATTTGTTGTTTATTAAGTGGTAGACATTGTTGGGAAAGCTACTGTATTACAACATACTGACAGCTCTCACTGTCCTTTTTACCAAATTCTGTTGTTCCATCTTGATGAATCCAGGCAAATTGTAATTAAAGAGAAAGTAAATAGATTTTATTCTGCACTTGTGTTTAAAGCTGCAACAATTAGTCAATTCAAGGTTGGTTCCAGGTTCTCAGATGTGAGAATTTTCTGCGTTTCCTTGTCTGACGTTTTTAGTAAATTGAATACCTCGCGTCTTTGGACTGTTGGGTGAACAAAGCAAGACATCTGAAGACGTTACCTAGGGCTGTAGTGAATTATGATGGACATTTTTCAAAGTTTTGTGACGAGTTGTAAACCAAACCACTAATCGATTCATGGAGAAAATAATCATCAGATGCAGCCCTACATGTGTTAGTTCTGTCTGAAGTAATATGTGCAATTGTGTGATTCTGTAAGACATGTGTTTTAGTCATGTTTTCATTAAACTGTGTACTCTTACGTACAGAAACTATAGACCGGCACACGTCCTGAGGCGGTGTGTCAGAATGACACATCAGCTGTGGGTGGGGTTTTTCAGTTTAGAGCAGTTATAACAAAGAAAAGAGATAGAGAGCCGCAAAGACCACAGCGAGGGAGTAATGAGTCAGCCAACCAGGTGACGAGGAAGTCCACAACATTTAAGCCTTTTGGACTATAATTAGTTGAACATGAGGAAGAGACTTCCCCTTAGTGCAGAGGCTAGAAGACTGAACCACCCCTATAAACACAACAGGGACTTTGTAACCCTTTGATCACTGACAGTAAACCTATCCCAGCAGCACAGTTATTTCCATGTGGGAAGTTCTAATACCACTATAAAACCTCCTTTTTCACAGTTAACCAAGAAGCTTGGTGAACAAAGGACCGGGTCAACGTCATCCTCAACTATGGCGAGCCAGGACCCTGCCAACCCGTCTCATGCAACATTTGAGCTGTTTGTCCAAGCCCAGAGTTGTAAGGATGTGAAGCGCCACTTTGCTGACCTCTGCAGGCAACTGGACATCAATCCCAAGGATTTCAGGAGCTTCTACACCAAGTTAAAGGAAAGACTGAACTACTGGAAGGCCAAAGCCCTGTGGACAAAGCTGGACAAAAGGGCATCCAACTCTGATTACCAGCAAGGAAAAGCCTGCACAAAAAACAAGGTACCAGTGATATACAGGGATGTGAAGGTTCTGAATTCTGGGACAAATACTGAAACCCTCTAATCATTTGTCAAGATAATTATCTGATTTAAGTATACATATTTAATATGAATATTGGTTAAAAAAAAGAAGTCACAATTCAAATATAATATCTGTTCAATCTATATTTTTTTTACTATACAGCTGTAATAATTAATTGTGGAGCGACTATGGATGAGTATTTGTCCATCCATCTGTTTTTGGGCTTGAGGTTCAAAAGAAAAGAGCTTTATTGAAACCTGAGTCATCACATGGCTCCATTTTAAACTTTGCCCTGAT